TCATTTAATCCTGGCTACAGTGTAGTTTCCCCCTTGTACATAGGAAAAGCTATAGTACAAAGAGTTTAAAAAAACTTGCTCAAAATCCCAATAGGGTGTTGAGGTAATGAATGACTTTTTTCCTCTTAAACAAGTATCTTTGAAAAGAATAGTGGACATCATCGGTCGCTTATCCAACTATCCATTTACCCTTTCAATTTTTTTTAAAGATTTTATTTGAGAGAGAGAGAGAGAGAGAGCAAGCAGGCAAGGGGCAGAGGGAGAGGAAGAAAGAATCCCAAGCAGGCTCTACACCCAGCATGGAGCCAGACTCGGGGCTGGATCCCAGGACCCCAAGATCATGACCTGAGCCAAAGTCAGACACTTAATCAACTGAGCCACCCAGGCGCCCTACCCTTTCAGTCTCTTACCCAGATTTTTCTTTGTGTATCTACCTCTCCCCAGACATGCCATGTACTTCAGAGAAAATCAACCCCATCCTTAGGTATAGTAGTTGGCCCTGGTTTGCTTAAGCCAATCAACCATTTCAATGACCACAGTCACTAGTTCACTAATCAGGTCATGACTCTTACTTGGAATGTTAGGACAGTGAGGCTCTCCCAAGAGATGTGAACAAAAATATACATGGTCCCAACCACTACTAGCAGCCATCCTACAATCATGAGAGGAACAGCAACAGACTGAAGAAAGCAGAACAGAAATGGAAAGAAACTGATCTTTAATACTACTGTTACTCTAAGTCTTGCCCTACCTTTGGACTTGGAGATAAATGAGCCTATAAATCCTTTTTATTGTGTTTAAAACCAGTTCAAGTTTTCTATTACTTACAACATGATGTACAAATTCATGGGGGTTGGGGGAGCACATTAAGAAGCATTTTGTGTTATTATCTTTCTAATAAACATTCATATTAAAGGCTTGAAAAATAACTACCTGAAATTTTATGTCTCACACAGTAGTTTGTAGTATTTTAATTGGACATTTTAAAATGTTATTTTTTAAAATATCGATTTCCAAGTCTTCCTGAAAAATCAAAAGCTATGACACCTTTGGGCCCATGTTACTGTAGTCCAACAACCAACCAGAATGGAATAGAAACTGCCTCTCTAAGTCTACAAGTACACCCTCTGCACACAGTCAATACAAATGAACGGAGCCTCTATGTGATGTGCTCAGGTCCTATAGGTATCACAAGTTTGCACCGTTAGTATCTTTAGCAGGACCTATATCAAATGACATGTAATGAGTCATAAAAAGTTATGTTCTACCTTTTAAGCTTTAACATTTTAATTAAAATCATATACTTATTAAACAAATTTCATTAAAACATGTATTTGTCACTAGCCCATGGGAAACACTATTCTTGAACCGAATACCTTTAAAGACCTGATGGAAGCCTTAAACTCAGCAACAAGTTCCTGAAAACATGCCAATACATTAATTACTCTGGGTCCAAATGTCTGACAAATGATTTTAGCATACAGATTTTAAAAAAATGAAATGGTTTTAAGTTGCAACAAGAAAAATGTAAACGTTGACTAAAACTTTGAAACACTTGGATACACAGGTGTGTACTATTAATCAAAACTTACCTATAAAACAGATTTGCAAAAGAAATTACAAGAACAGTGGTAAATTTCAAAGGAATTTTGGTCAAGTTACAGTAAGGTCAAGCTACATTAGCAAATTTAGGAGGCAGCACTTTGTAAAGATCTCTGGAAGTCTGTATGGCTTTACCACTAATTTGGACAACTCCAGGGGAGGGGAAGTTGTTAATTTTAACAGCACAAATATTATTACTTAAAGCAGCTAACACGTAATCAGTAAAAAACAATCAGTAGGACATAATCTACTTTAACAAAATGAGTCAAAAATAGGGAAAAGTTATAATAACTAAAATAGTTTAAACTTACTAATTAAAAATCCAGTGAAAGTAGGATAAAGGAGAACACAATAAGGATTCAGTGATACTGGTAATATACTGGTTAAGTAAGAAGATTCACAGGGCTAATATCATTATAATACTTCATTACTTACACATATTACATATTCTTCTGTCTGTATTCTATATTTTCACAATTTTATAAATTTTAATCCAATATACTGACTATAAAAATGTTAATGATAATCTTTCTGCATCCACATGCCAAGTAAAAAAACCAACTGAATGACCAGAAAAATGGTCTGCTTTTAAGCAGTTTTTTTACTTCTTAAAGCAGTTTTGTGAAAGTTATTTGAATGTTAGAGGAAGAAATGAGGGGCGCTTGGATGGCGCAGTCAGTTAAGCCTCTGAGTCTTGATTTCGGCTCAGGTCATCTTCTCAGGGTCATGAGATCAATCCCCAAGTCAGGGTCTGGGCTTAGGGTGGAGTCTGCTGAAGATTCTCTCCTTTTTGAGTTCTACAGTGAAGCCCCCTCTGTGTGGGGAGATAGTAACACCTTGTAACTCAATACAGCTGGGTACTATTTACATAAACCAGAGCTGAGCCAGGCAGGAATTTGCTGATTAATTTATTTTTAATGCAGTGAAGTATACCATGCACCAAAATAAACTTTACTGTGTGTACCTTAAAAAAAAAAAAAAAAGATTCTCTCCCTCTCCCTCTCCCCATTCCCTCAGCACACGTTCACTCTCTTAAAAAAAAAAGAGAAAGAAAGAAATGAATTTTACTGATGGAGATTTCATCATTAATATTAGGTGTTCTTATATTGAGGAAAGTTATGCCTGAGCTATAAATACCTGCTCAGAGAAGCAAACAATTCTACATCAACTCAAGAGACAGATGTACTCCTGGAAAGACTGCCATTCTAAGAATCACCAAATTGTAAGCAATCTATTCAACCTTTCAGGGTCTCAGTCTCCTCATCTATAAAATGACATATATAGTAAAGTTATTGAAAGAAGAATTTAAAAACATATGTAAAGCACTTGGCCCATTGCCTGGCACATAGTAAACATCGTAACTTCTGTAAAATCATTATTATTAATGTCATTTCCTTCTTCGAGCAGATTAAGGCTGATAACTATCAGGAAATATTTAGGTGCCGTGGTACTAACAATGTTGAGACGGACTAGCTTACCAGATTCCCAAAATTTCAGTTCTCAAGATTTTCTAAAGACTGGCCAAGACCCTACATATCCATGAAGGAACATATAAAGTATTGTAAGGGAGAATGGAAAAGGGAGGAACTAATCTAATCCTGTGGTCTACATGAGAAGAGAATGAGGTGAAGAAGAGGTGTAACTGAACCGTTTCCCTCTCCTTTTACCAGACACCTATTACTCTGAAAACATGTAGCTGTGCAGAATTTAACCAATAATCTTATATCTCTACCAGGCCTACAATTCTAGGCAGCATATAAGCAAACCATTACTACAGAATTTGGATTTTCCTTAATAAAATGCAGGTAACTCATGTTTGGTTGTCCACCTTCACACAGCGCATTCTAAAGAACAAAGGAGTTCGAATTCTCCTTTGCCAGTGGAATATTTTATTTCACACACAAACAACTAATTATGGGCTATATCACTACCACAGATTTCTGTTTGTCCTCAAGGTACATGAGGTTTAGAAACAGAAAAAGAAATTAAAAAAAAAAGTTTTCAAGTCTATTTTGAGGTAGAGGAATGAATCAATTTACCATTTACCTCCTTGAGACTTACAAACTTTTAAAGACCACAAACACACTAGATCCCCAAAGTTTTGATAATTGTTGAAACTGGATAACAGATACCAGAGAACTATCCTGTTTTTGTATATATTTGAACATTTCCATATATATAGTTTTTTAAAAATGTGTACATGTGTGTCTGTTATTTATATATAAGCAAACAAAATGGTAGAAAATACCCTATTGTTCAAAGTTCTTATACTCTAATAGTAAGTGAATTTCATTTAGCTCCTTTCTCATTCTAGAAGTTGTACTGCAGGTGACCAGACTATTGGTAAAGGTCTAGTGAAGGAAATAATTAACTGCCCTGGAATAAAACAAGCCTAACCTTGAAAACACACAGGCAAAAGGGAAGAGTACTAAACAGTTATTACAGCTATTATACATTCATATTTGTTCCCATCTGTTATCTTCTAACACAGGTAAGTAGGCAGAAGAGGTGGAAGTATTTTTAAGGCCAAATTTACCTTTCATTCTTCAAATTGATGGGCAATAGAAGTTGCAGTAAAGAAATCTAAAACGTTCCCATTAGAAATAACCATTTCTAAGAATGGAGTAGAGAAAAAGTATTGCTTATCCACCTTTCAAAAATAACATTCATAGTTCACAGTGTAACCGGCAACTTGCAATAACCAAGTATGCTTTACTGCTAGACATGCATTCACCAAAGAAATAGATTCGGTTATACAGCATCTGCCAGAATTCTCTTTTCAAATTGCCATTCAATTTTCACAAGATGTAACCCTAAATTCATTCCAAAATTTAATTTTTTGTTAGTTATGTCTAAAAATACAACTGATCAAAATAGAAATACTTTGTGGCAAATTAATCTTTCATCATGAACAAATCTTTGTTCATCTGTGAACAAAGTTTCATGTTCAAAACTTACAGCAAAACGTAACTTAGGCAGACTCAAAAGAGTAAGTAGTATGTAGGGCATTTATTTCTCAAGTCCAAAAAAAGTCACGAAAATATCTTTAAAATGTTAAAGAGAAATGCAGACTTAGTTATATATCCCAAGAAAAAAAAAGTTTATATAATAAAACTCCTCCACTGGAACCCCCACAAAATAATTCTAAGCAACAATTATTTCCTTAGCACAAACGTGATCTGTTCACTTTCACAAAACCTGGAGCACCTAAATTTACATAATTCCCCTTAAGCTGAAAAATACAAAAAAATTCTTTCATTTAGGTCAGTAGAATTTTGTGCTTCCATCCATGGAAAAAGCCATCAGCAATCTGAGTCAAGCACATGGCTCCAACTTTAACGTCTAGTTCCCCAACCCACTGAGAAGAATATATGCTTATGAAATAGATATCTACTTACCAGGTTAAAGACAGTTTCTACAATATCCCTATTGGATACTTCTCCAACTTCAACCAACCCCGTTAACACGGCAAATTTCATTCTGATGCCCCTGATGGGGAGCCCTGGTTTCAGGGACAATGCACCCTCTTCTGCAGAGGTTTCTTCTTTCCCTCCACCTCCCCCGTCATCACCTGTTGGTGGCGGGGAAGGGACATTATTGTCTTCACTAGCCATTGCTAGCTAGTTCATGAGAAAGGACAACTCGGAGTCACTATGGGACAGCAATTGCTGCACTAGGAATAAGCACACACACGCAACACAACAGGAAAAGGGTCACTCTTCCAAGTTGCGGAGAAACCCCAAAAGCAGTTGATGGGGAAAGTCCTTGGCGTCGCCCTCCTCCTCTTGGAGAATATTTGTCCAATCTCTCTCCCCGAGGCTGACAACAACGCCAAACCCTATTGGAAGATTAGATAAATGTTAAATACGCTAGGTTTTGTTTTAGGGTTTTGTGGGGGGAGAAGGAAATAGTTACTGTCCGTCAAATAAGTTGCTAAAGGGACCTTACTACCAGCCACCCGCTAACCTCCCTGGCTCAAAGAGGTAGGTTCTGAGTGAAGGCGGGTTCAAGAGGCCCCTGAACAGGTTCACTCCTCCCCCACACTCTCGCAGGTTCCAGGCGCAGGGCTACCTCTCCTCACAGGTGCACGGAAAGAGGACCTGTCGCTGGGAAATGAAGGGTCCGAGGAAAGGAGGGACCGCCCAAGCTACCACAGAAGTAGAAAGTTCCTCCTCACCCAGATACTCCGGACTCGTCCTCACCCCCGGCCAGGGAGCCGCGAGACGGAGGCGGCGGCGGAGATCCAGGGCAGGAAAAGGCGGGGGAAGGGGGCGGTGATTACTCTCAACGCTCGGCCCAGGGGGAGGAGTGGAGCACTCAGGCACCTGAGGTTCGACGGCGAGAGGAGGGGAGGTGTGTGTTGTGGCAAGGAGGGAGGGGAGGCCCGGCGGCGACGGCGAGGAGAGGGAGGAGAGAGAGGTCAGTGCACCTGGTCGCAGCCTCCAAGTTTCCCTAGTCTGCTCCCCGGGAGTCCGCGGCTGCACAGAACTCCATGGCTTCCTGGCCCGCCCGACCCCTGCGCTCAACCTTTGCAAAAACCTCCGCTGCTAGCGCTATGGACACCGCGGCTGACGCTGCCGGCGGTGGTGAGGTTGCTACTGCCACAGCTCGCCCCGCCACGGCTCGCGCGAATGCCCCTGTGCCCACTGAAGCTACTCCTCGCCGCCATGACAGCGCCGAGGGCTGCCGGGCGCGGCGTGCGCGTGCGCGAGCGCGCGGGACGGTGGGGCGGGCGCCCGCGAAGGCGGAGGCAAGCGTGTGGCGGGGTGGGGAAGCGCGGGAGGCCTAGGGGGCCGCGAAAGGGCGAAGGTGCCAGGCGCGGGCTTGCAGGCAGGACTACATGTGAAGGTGGGCACCCTAGCGGGCGCTTTGCCCAAATAACACCAGGTGTGTCCCGGACCGGCCAGAAGAGACGTTTCGTACCAGGAGCCGACTCTCCCCGCACACACGCGTACACCTCCCACCCACGACCTGGGAAGGTGCTTTGACAAGTGCTGAGGTGATTCTGAAGCTTCTTCTGTTGTTAAGTTACCGTAGGGTCTCCTAGCGCGCGGAGAACCCGCCCCACGTTTCCATGGTGTCTTCTTGGACTTGAAGAAGGACACCTGAGGGACTGCTATGAGCCAGAGAAGTGGCAGCGCTGGAGCCAGCGAGGCTGCTTTCCTTGTCTAAAGGGAGCGGAGAATCCCCACCCCTGACTGCGTTCAGCTGCTGCCCGCCCGCGGCGCTCCGTGAAGACTTAGAGGTTTCCACTGGGATGCCCCAGCAGCTGCCACCGCTTGGAAGAAGATGGGAGGGGGGACGTGTCCATGAGGAATGGGAAAGATTCCTTGCTTTGCAGCTGCCGCCCCACCAAACCTCTCCCACATTCTAAGGAAGGGAGGATTCCTGAGACAGCTGCTCCAAACAGCGTGGAGGCGGGGTTAATTTTGCCTGTAGATCTCAGGGGTTTTTTTACTCTCGTAATTTTCCAGTGTGAAAGTTAGGTTCGCCTCATTCTCAGATTAGTTTAAAAGATAAGTTACATTAGGATTGAAACCAGCACAGGTCATCGTAATGTGTCCTTCCCCTCCACCCTCACTATTAACAATAAAGTATTCTTCCTGATGCATTAGTGAAAAACAAGTATCGTTAAAGAAAGTGGTTTTTCACCCTTATGTACTCTTTGAAGTCATAAGGCCTTAAAAAATGATGTTTAATATACTAGTAGTTCCCTAAAATGAAAGTGAAGAAAAAGTGAAGTCAGGTAAAAGTTAGGAAGTACCAGGGAGGAGCCAGAAGAAAAAAATATATTGGTTTGAGAGATGTAATAATTGCCTAGAGAGGGGCGCCTGGGTGGCTCAGTCGGTTAAGCGTCTGCCTTCGGCTCAGGTCATGATCTCCAGGTCCTGGGATCGAGCCCCGCATCGGGCTCCCTGCTCAGCGGGGAGTCTGCTTCTGCCTCTCCCTCTGCCTCTCCCCACTGCTCCTACTCTCTCTCTCTCTCTGTATCTCTCTGTCTCAAATAAATAAATTTAAAAAATAATAATAGGGGCGCCTGGGTGGCTCAGTCGGTTAAGCGTCTGCCTTCGGCTCAGGTCATGATCTCCAGGTCCTGGGATCGAGCCCCGCATCGGGCTCCCTGCTCAGCGGGGAGTCTGCTTCTCCCTCTGACCCTCCTCCCTCTCATGCTCTCTGTCTCTCATTCTCTCTCTCGCAAATAAATAAAATCTTTAAAAAAAAAAATTTTTTTTAAATAATAATAATAGTAATTGCCTAGAGAAAGGGTTGGGATGGGCTTGAAAAGGAAACTGAATTCCAACTATCACATGGAAATTTGGAGGGAGGGAGGTAACATGAGATACGACAAGAAGCATCGGGGTATCTTCAGAAAAGTGGTACACCTTTTAAAAACACTAAAATGAATTTGACTTCACCAAATCGCCTATGTTTGCAAATGTTTGTTAAAGACTTGTTTTGCAATAAGCGGATACTCCAAAGATGGAGCAGACGTTTTTCTCATGATCTGAATTGGTGATTCATGTATTGCCAGGGTAAGAGGCAAGCCACATGAATGGCTTGCCTTTCCTTAAATCCCTGAAAAACAAAACACCTCAGATTTAAATTTCAGATTGTGGGACACTTGGGTGGCTCAGTCGGTTAAGCATCTGCCTTCCCCTCAGTCCTGATCCCAGGGTCCTGATATCGAGCCCCCCCATCAGTCTCCTTGCTAGGTGGGGAGCCTGCCCCTCCCCCTGCCTGCCCTCCCCCTGCTTGTGTTCTCTAACAGATAAATAAAATCTTTAAAAAATAATAAAATAAATAATACATATATATTTCAGATTGGTAAATGAATAAGTCTGGGGCGCCTGGGTGGCTCAGTCATTAAGCGTCTGCCTTCGGCTCAGGTCATGATCTCGGGGTCCTGGGATCGAGTCCTGTATCGGGCTCCCTGCTCTGTGGGAAACCTGCTTCTTCCTCTGCCTGCCACTCCCCCTGCTTGTGTTCCCTCTCTCGCTGTGTGTCTCTCTCTCTCTAATAGATTAAAAAAAAAATCCTTAAAAAAAAGTAAGTCTGGAATAAGAGGGAGTCAGGTGTCCCTGAAGTAGAAAGACAACTTTCATTTGACCTTTAACACATCTGTAGGGAAGGAGACAAGGAGGCACATTTGAGGTAGAGAGGCATTAATGAAAGGCTTCTATTAAAGCATTTTGTCTCCCCAGATTTGGGCAAATAGTCTTACCTTGAGTATTTTTTTTTTTTTAAGATTTTATTTATTTATTTGCCAGAGAGAGAGGGAGAGTACAAGCAGGGGGAGTGGCAGGCAGAGGGAGAAGCAGGCTCCTCGCTAAGCAAGGAGCCTGATGTGAGACTCAATCCCAGGACCCTGAGATAATGACCCGAGCAGAAGGCAGACTCTTAACCATCTGAGCCACCCAGGCGCCCCTCAAGTATGTTAATATATCTGGCATACAATTGCTAGTAAAGTATTTGCTAAATAAATAAACATCTGCCATTAAGAAGGAGATGACAATGAACATGTCCTAAACACAGTGTGGTCACAGTTATTCAATCTAAATGGGGCTAAGGTTTGTGTCTGTCATGGATTTGCCAGCTCACTGTTAACACTATTCTACTGGTGAAACAAAAGGGGATATAAGAAAATTACCCAAATATTTCCCAAAAAAATTGTCAACTATTTTTTACAGTTTTTCAGAATTATCCAACCTCCTGCTTGACTTTGCTCCTGGTTACAGTAAAATACATGGCAAAAAATGGGGGTTCAGAAGGAAGCATATGGAAGGTAGAAGAGGAAACTTCACTTCTAGCCATAGTTAGAATACAATAGCTGTTTACGTCAAAAGAATAAAATCAGAGTGCTTCAGGGTGAACTATCTGTCCATCAACTACTAAGCTCCTTCATGGCACAATCCTGAACATTGTAGGTACTCAAAACATATTATTTGGATTGAGTTAAAACTCTAAAAATGCTTGCTTTAAGTTTTCTCACCTGAAAGCCCTTGCTTAAATCTATACAACTACTACCAGTTAAAGGGGGTAGGATCTTTGTATAAATGGCTGTCTTAATATGGAAAGCCGTTTACCATTTGTTAGAATTTGTTTATCTTTTTGGTACTATAATGGATGTTTTCTAGTCAAAATATTTCATATAAACTATCAGCAGATGAATTTACAGAACTGCAATACTTGTATCCCTACATTATATGCTCAAATGCTACACAAAAAGGAAGAAAGGGGGGAAAAAGATTACTTCCTGTAAAGCCAGGCTCAAGTTTTTTTTATCACCATCTACTTTGTATTTCTTGGACATCACCATCTTGACAGAATTAAGGACTAAAATTTTTCATAATTTTACTTGCCTTCAGCATGTGTTAAAAACCATAGCAGGAAAAAAAAGAAGAAGAAAAAACAGTAGATTCAGAACAGGAAGCCTGTGCATAACTCAGAGGAACTCAGGCAAAGGGAATGTAATTTCATGGTGAAATCAAGATGATTGATCTATAAACCCTTACCTATATAGAAAGAAAATTTTGATAGAAAAGATGGGATGGAATTTTCTTTCTACCAGAAAGAATACCTAACCCACCCAAATGTAACTTATTGGCATTTTGCTAGCATATAGTTGAAATGATAATTTAGGGGAAAGCTACCACCCACATGATTTGCTATGAGCCTGGATGTGTATCTCTGGATTTGAAGTTTTCTTCAAATTGTTATTTCTCATCACTTATGGTATCATAGACTGGAAATACATGGTCCTGGCTTGCAGCACCCTCCTTGTGAGAAAGTGAAACATTCATTAAATCTTACTAATGTTAAATAAAATTTTTATGCTAGTAGTTTTATTAATGATATTTTTATTGGGCATTAGATTATGGGAACAATTTAATTTAAAGGGAAAAAACATCACCTTCTTTAATGGTTGGAAACTCAAAAGTTTAAGATTAAAAGTTTATATGATTGTTTAATATCTAGAAGTTCAAAATGATCCACATTAACTTACTACATTTTGGGAATTTTTTTTTAAAGATTTTATTTATGTATTCATGAGATACAGAGAGAGAGAGATAAGCAGAGGCAGAGGGAGAAGCAGGCTCCCCGCAGAGCAGGGAGCCTGATGCGGGGCTCAATCCCAGGACTGTGGAATCACGACCTGAGCCGAAGGCAGACGCTTAACCGACTGAGCCACCCAGGCGCCCCTGGGAATTTTTTTTTAAAGATTTTATTTATTTATTTGACAGAGACACAGCAAGAGAAGGAACACAAGCCGGGGGAGTGGGAGAGGGAGAAGCAGGCTTCCCACTGAGCAGGGAGTCTGATGCGGGGCTCAATCCCAGGACCCTGTGATCATGACCTGAGCCAAAGGCAGACGCTTAACGACTGAGCCACCCAGGGGCCCCACATTTTGGGAATTTTTAAATTCTTTTTTCCCTTGTGTATGTCACAAAAGAGGTAGAGGCTTTGTAAAGGGCAACTCTACTTTCAGCAAGTATGCTAGCCAAGACATACTTTTTAAGACATAAAATATTAATGTAGTAGTTAGTGTAGTTGGCATGGACATAGACTAGGTTGGTTGATTTGTCTTTTCTATTTTCCCATCTCTATCTTTTTCTTAAGTAGTGTGTAAATAGGTATCTCATTTACAGTGGTCCCTTATGATAGTAAGTTAATAGT